CTTATACTATGTATTACGCTGTCCTCAGTTTCTCTGGGGATGCTGATGAGACCTAGGCAGACCCAGAACTACACTCTACCCCGGATGAGTGTAACCTTTTTGAAAACACGTCTAAGTGAAATTTAATATAGACGGGAAGATCACTTATAGCATTGTTAGAAAAATTCAGCTATGCGTCTTACATCACCTTATGTGACCTTGGGTGGATAGAACTATCATTCAAGATTAATTGATAGTTTCGAAATCTACTTAAAACAAAACATACCATGTAGGTAGGATTGCAGCAGGTCATCTTTCTTATCTTGGTGCCTCGTAAAGTGTCATTAAACATGGCATTATTCATTAACGATGTGCGTCACATGACAGACTGAAGCTAAGCGCGGATTAATCAGGGCTGAGGGACGGTGCGACGAGGACTTCTTCACTCATATCTACCCTTACAGGCTTAGGTATAACCTATTCAGAAATTCTTCTCATTTGCCTCTTTAAAGGAAATGAAAGCTGCAGTGACATCATTTTATTATGGAATTCTTTTAAGACCTATTTTGATTCATATATATATATATAAGTTTTATTCTGTAACACCAGCAAAACGTGTTTCCCATGAAAGTAAATAGTAAAAGGATACACAATAAAACAAAAGAGGGATTTTTATAAATATAATAGTATTTGATAACTAAAAATTTTGAGAAAAAATAAAATGAAATATATACAAACGTTCATGCATGTGTGTACGCCAAATAAAGCGTAAACTTCCTTAGGCATAGAATTGTGTTAAGCATATAGGTTAATGTATTAGGTAGAAGAGATAAGTTGATTAGATATCGAAGGTCACGAACTTGATCAGTAGTAATACGTACTGCTTAGTCCAAAGAAGTGAAGCCGACAGCATATTTGGATTATCTCTCTAATTTTTAACAAGCCTGCTTATTCGCTTCAGTAGCTGGACAAGAAATTTTCTATTTTTCCCCACTTAGTCGCCCCTCTACTCTTTGCCCTTTATGCTTAATATCCTTTAACAGGGAATATCTCGTTAATACTATTAAAATTTCTTCTTTCTTAACCTATTAATATTTACTCTCGGTTCTATTGTTTATTATCGTTTCAAAAGACGTATTTTAATGAAATGTATTAATAAATCTTATAAGCTGTTTTAATGTCCTTTTCATGCGAGCAGTTACATTCGGCTACCTGGTCTTTCTTTTTGCTTTTAAGCTGCTGCGAATGCAAGAGGGCGAAAAATGATTTCCAACCGATGAAACAGACTTTGGGGAGCCATATAAGGTTGAGAACATCATTTGTTATTGTGGCTATCAGCCAGTAGGTAATAGCATTCGGCACTTTAGAAGTAAGTCGATTTAGGGCCGCAGGTGAGCCATAAAGCATGTGATGAGCGCTAAGGTAGTAGGGAATGTTCATTAAAAAGCGAGAAAAAATGAAGCTCGAGAAGAAAAGGAAACCAGAAATAGCTGTGCGAAGGCCATTTGATTTTTCTCCACTGGTCAGGAAGAACCATCTTAAGCAGGTGTAGGGAAGGACGTGATAAGGATTCATAATACAAAAAAAGAGGTAAAATAAAGAGATATGAACACAGTATACTAATGAACGCATAATACTGACCAAATAATCATAGTTTAATATTTGAAAAAGCTAATAAAGAACTTCCTTTGTTGAAGCCCTTACCAAATTCTCTAAATAGGGAAGATAGCTCGAAATTTTCAGTCAAAATTTCTAACTTTCATTTGATTAAATGTATTTACTCAGATACATATTACAAATTTAGCTTTGGGTATAGTGAATTAATTTATGATCCAAATGAATTTGAGCTTATAACAGAATCCAGTAAGAGCTATAATTAAGTAATAACATACTATAAGCTAATAATGAGAGGTTCTACCATAAGAACCACTTGTACTAATTCCTACTCTAATTTCAACAACGCCCCAAATATGTGGCAAAACACGGTCTTTAACTTGGTATGGATGTAATAATGTCAAAGCTGTCATAGCAACAATTAACCTGAAATAGTCAATTACATGAACTGTTGAAGTTAGCAACAGAATTTAGAACAAATTAACAAAAGATGTTAGCTTCTAACCATGTTTGACGCAAAAAGCACGTGCTTGTAGATGGGTAAAATAATTCAAGAAATTGGGAAAGTAATCCGAGCATCCATTTTGAAAAAAGGCAAAACTGGGTCTAAGGAATAGGCGCATTCACTAGGCCATATATATTTCCATGATACGGAAAAAAATCTATGCTATAACAATGGTGCCTGCTATTTATGAGTATTCCTACTAACCTAAAACGTTTAGCCCATTTATTGGATGAGCTTTGTCATAACACCTCTGTTAAAATAAAAAGAGGGGGGTAAAGTACTCGATTTAGAAACGACTTGATTTTACATATAGTAAAGTGATCACAAAAATAAAAAAGAAGATTCCCTCTATAGAGATATTGCAACACAAGTGAATTACAATCTAAACATGTAATAAATCACTTCCTTGCTAACTGGAAATTTGAAAAAGGATATGACACAAGCTTTACGCAATCTTGAAGATATGAAGACCAAGATGGTGTGGCTTCTTCTGTGGTCGCAGTCCCATTTCGATTTATAGGAGTGGATTGACCTCATTGTCGCAACTTGTTCTTGTTGTCAGGGCGACTTAGTAGAACGCACCTAGTCCGA